TGACCACCTGCGGGGTTGCCGGCAGGTAGAGTAGCAACGGCTCATCTGGCTCCGGGGCGACCAGGACTGGGGGAGAACTGAGGTACGCCTTCAACTGAGTGAAGGCCCGCTCAGCCTCCTCCGTCCAGGTAAACGGCCCGGAGCGTTTGAGGAGCTTAAATAGGGGCAGTGCCTTCTCTCCCAGCCTCGATATGAACCGACTTAGGGCGGCCATGCAGCCGGTGACGCACTGCACATCCCTAAGCTTGCTGGGGGGGCGCATCCGCTCTATAGCTCGTATCTTCTCGGGGTTGGCCTCGATGCCTCGGGCAGAGACCAAGAACCCGAGAAGCTTGCCCGCAGGCACGCCGAACACGCACTTATCGGGGTTCAGCTTTATGCGGGCGGAGCGGAGACTTTCGAAAGTTTTCGCTAGATCCGAGAGTAAGGTCTCTTGGTTGCGCGTCTTCACAACCAAGTCATCAACATAGGCCTCAACATTGCGTCCTATCTGGCTACCCAAAGAAATTCGAGTAGTACGTTGAAAAGTAGGACCTGCATTCTTTAACCCGAAAGGCATTGTCGTGTAACAATAAGTTCCTATGAGGGTAATGAATGCAGTTTTTTCCTCATCCTCCCTAGCCATGCGAATCTGATGATAACCAGAGTATGCATCTAGAAAACACAAAAGGTCGCACCCCGCGGTGGAGTCGACAATCTGATCTATGCGTGGCAAGGGGTAAGGGTCCTTAGGACATGCCTTGTTAAGGTCGGTGTAGTCGATGCACATCCGAAGCTTGCCGTTCGCCTTGGAAACGACGACCGGGTTCGCCAGCCACTCCGGATGGATGACCTCACGGATGAATCCGGCCTCCAGAAGTCGCGCCACCTCCTCGCGGATGAAGGCTTGACGTTCCGGGGCCTGCCGCCGCACTTTCTGCCGGACCGGCCTTGCGCCCGGCCGCACGGCGAGACGGTGCTCAATCACCTCCCTGGGGACCCCGGGCATGTCCGCCGGTCTCCAGGCGAAGACGTCGGCGTTTGCCCGCAGGAAGGAGACGAGCGCGTCTTCCTATTTGTCGTCCAGAAGACCACCGATTCGTGTGGTCTTGGACGGGCCGTCGCCTAGGGCAACCTCCTTGACCGGGACCTCGTCGCACGTGACCATCCGCTGCCTTGGGGCGGCCGGGAAGGAGGTGGCGAGCCTCTCGTCGCCACCCGCGGGCTTGGACGCCGCGGCGAGGTGGTCCGCGCGCTGCTCCATACAAGCAAGCGCGACTTTGAGGTCGCCATGGACGGTGATGGGGCCACCGGGGCCCGGCATCTTCATCTGGAGATAGGCGTAGTGGACCACCGCCATGAACTTCACCAACGCGGGCCTCCCCAGGACCGCGTTGTAGGGCATACTGAGGTCCGCCACATCGAAGTCCACCTGCTCCGTGCGGAAGTTGGCGGAACCACCGAAGGTGACCGGGAGGTCGATATGACCCAGCGGCCAGGTGTGCCCCGGCGTCACACCGATGATCGGCTGGGACGGCCGGAGCACCATCCCCGGGGCCTTGATGGCGTCAAAGGCTGCGGGGGAAAGGATGTTGAGGGCTGCACCCCCGTCTATGAGGACACGCCCCAACTTCACATTGCAAACGGTGGGGGAAACCACCATCGCGATCTGTCCTCCCCGGGCAACGCACGGCGGGTGGTCGGTCTGGTCGAAGGTGAGGGCAACCTCCGACCACCGCACCCGTCGCGTCGCCTCATGGGTAGGGGCCGCGGCCAGAAGCTCTCGCTTCATGGCCTTGAGGCTCCGGCGAGAAGCGTGAGCGCACGCTCCCCCATCGATGGTGGCGACGGTGGCCTCAGGCTCCTGGAACCCCAGGTCATCGTCGCCATCGTCGATGTCCTCGGCGGTGGCCTTCTGCTTGGCCTCACCTCGCCGGTTGCCGGCGGGAGCCGCAGGGGTCTTGCCCTCACAGCGCTCATGCCTCTTCTCCTCCTCCCACTTCCTCGTCCGCTCAGCCAAACTTTTGACCACGCGGCAGTCCGCGAGGTCGTGGAGGGAGGTGTTGTGCACGGTACACCACTTGCCGGTTGGGCGCTCCCTGCTGGGAGCGCCGGCCTCCTTCTTTTTGTCGCTCGCAGGCCTCCCCTTTCGGGGGGCCCGCGAAGCGCCCTCGACGGCGAGGACATGACCCTCGTCGTCGGAACGGGCTGACCCCTTCTTCCTCCTCCTGTCCCGCCACCCTGACCGAGCGGCGGACCCGGGGGCGGCCGGAGCTACCACACCAGAACCGGAGGAATTCCAGGTCCAGGCCTCCTCCTTGCGAGCCACACTGTCCGCGAGCTCAAAAAGCTGTGCGGTGGTCTGGGGCTCCTTGGAGGCGATCTTCTCGAGCATGCGGTTGTGCCGCATGCCCCCCCTGAACGCGTAGATCACCGCGTGTGCGGGAATGCAGGGTATGGTGTTGCGGACTTGACAGAACCGCTGAATGTACGAGCGAAGAGACTCATCGTCCCTTCGCTGTACCGCATGCAAGTCCGCTTCTTCGCCTGGGCGCGGATATATGCCCTGGAAGTTCGTGGTGAACTGCTGGCACAAATCCTCCCAAGAGTGGACCGACGCGGGTGGCAAGTTCATTAGCCAACCCCGCGCCTGACCCTTCAGGGCCATGGGGAAGAAATTCGCCATGACCCTGTCGTCACCCCCGGCGGCCTCGATCCCGGTCGTGTAGATCTGGAGAAACTCGGCGGGGTTGACGCTTCCGTCGTATTTTTCGGTGATGGTGGGCCGGAACCTTGGGGGCCAACGGACGTTCCGAAGGCTCGCCACAAAGGCTCGACAGCCGGCACCGCCAACCGGGGACACGGGGGGCCGGCCCCCGTGCCCGGACCGAAGTGGCGCTCCGGACGAGGAAGCGCCCTCCGTTGCGTGGGCGGCGCGACGAGCGTCGCGCCGGCGCTCAATATCGAGGCGGGCATCCGGCCCCCCACGCACATCTTCTTGGGTCGGAGGCGTTGACGAGGGAATGGCGGACGAACGGCGGGTAACGGCCGCCGCTCGCCGCGCCCTCCGCCTCGACGACATGGAGCCGGCGGCGGCTGCGCCAGAGGCCTCGGTGGCGGAGGACCGCCCGCCGGCGCCTAGGCGCTGCTGCGCCGTCATGACCAAGTCGGCCACGTCATCCAGCCAACGTCGGGCTGGAGTCTCTGGATCGGGGACGACGGGCGGGTGACGCAGGAGCGCGCCCGCAGCCTGGAGCGCGCCCTGGGGCGTGCCGCCATCGCCGTAGACGAGGCGGCGACGCGCCCCGTCTCGCCGTCCTCCCCCGTCGCCCGCGGGCGGCGAAGTCGCGGATCCTTCGACCTCCCCGAGCGCCTCCCCCCGCCCAAGATTTCGGCGAGAGGGGGACGGTGGGGTGCGAGCCCGACGGCGCGGGTTCTGCTCCCCGTCGTCACCGCTAGCGTTCGGAGAGAGGCTGTGCGCCACTGCCCGTTCGGCCATTGGGCTGAGCGGGAGAAGCTTGGCGCACACGAAAGAGGACGAGGGCTTAGAAAGACACGCGCGCCCCCTACCTGGCGCGCCAGATGATGGAGCGTGGGGCTCCTCACCGGGAGACCGCGCAGGCCCCCCTTTGCCGGTTCGGCCGGGGGCGCTAAGTGAGGTTCTTCGCCCTCGATCTGAGGAACGTCAGCGAGAGAGGAAATGCACAAGACACGGGCGACGTAGACAGGTTCGGGCCGCTGAGAAGCGTAACACCCTACTCCTGTGTTCTGGTGGATCTGTGCGTGAAGGAATACAGAGAGCCGGAGAGCGAGAGAGAGTTTTTGCTCTAGAACCCCTTTCCCAGAGTCCCAACCCCCTTCTCTCCCCCTCCTTTCTCCTAGGCCTGGGCCTCCTTTTTATCTGGTCAGGGGTCACCACATGGGCCTCTAGCTGCCTAAGAAGGGAAACATGCTTTTTACAATGAGGGCTAGTCTACAGCCGGAAGTGACCTCTGACAAGCAGAGCCCACGCCTCCTGCCCCGCTCGCCTGCTTTCCCGGTGGACGCCCATTTCGACCTTCATTTAATGGCTAGCGACTTCCTTGCCATACTTGTGCTGAAGCCTGGAATGGATCTGACCGGGACTGACATACCAACTGCAGGAGTTAGCACGCCGGCTCCGGCTAGGGACGAGAGCCAGGAAGCTCTCATCATTCCGACGGGACGGGGCGAGGCGTGTGACAGGCCGCCTGTTGCCACCTAACCCGCGATCTGACCGGTCTGTGACCGGTCACACACTGCGACCGGTCACGGACCGGATAAGCGTGCGCTGCGCCGCATTAAATGCGGCGTGGCGCGCTCGTCCAACCTGCTATAAATGCGGTTAGGTGAGCCCGCTGTGCTCACCTAACCCACACACGTGGCGCCAAAACCACAGGGGGTCGGGGCGCCCCAGCCCTCAGGGCCGAAACGGGAGCGGCCCGACCCCTCGGGGAGACAGAGGGAGGGGTGGCCACGTCACCCTCGGGCCCGACCCCCCCGAGGGGGTCAGGCCACGTGGGTGACCGCGGCTACCCAAGCCTCTAGTCACGATACCCCCGGCCCCATGTCACCGACAATATATTTGTTAACACTTTTATACATATTATAATGAAAAATAATGGTCAAAGTTGTTTTTTTGAGACCGTGTTCTTATCCAAAACGACAAATATTATCAACCCGGAGGGAGTACATATTTAGTTATTGATCATGTTGTCTTTGTTTACTAGTGTTCCCTCCATTTCAAGGCTTGTCCTAAGTCAAACATTTTATTATGACTATTATTTTTTATAAAATCATATAGTTTAGCATCACAAGATTTATATTTTTAGATTCACCTTGAGAAATACTTTCATAATAATTGTCAAAGATAGACATGTTTGAATTAGTATAAATCTAGAACGGCAAGTAATTTGAAACGGATGGAGTATTAAGTTTGCACCATGCCACTATTATCAGTCTCCTCTTTGGGCTGACAAACCATGTAAATATTGAAATCTTAGGTTGTGCACATGACAGAAAGGCATATAAAGGGTAACTACACTACGATTATCCATGGAAAATATGCCCACGAAGAGACTGTTGCAACCGCCTCTTTTGCAGACAAGTACATCATTGTGAAGGACATAACTGAGGTACATTTTTTTAAATTGCAATTCATTTTTATGAAGTTCAAAATAATGATTTTTGTGAAACAGGAACTGTTTTCAGTTTCTAAATATAGGTATTGTATCTCTATGATTATATTGTGATCATTGTTATATATAGGCAAAGTATGTGTGTGATTACATTCTTGAAGGCCAACTTGATGGGTCCAGCTCAACAAAAGAGAAGTTCCTTAAGGTAAGGGCTTAGAAGAATCATGCTTTACCGACATGTTAGAATCACCTGATTGTAATATTGGAGACGCTTGCGATTACAGAAATTCAGATATGCTGTCTCTCCAGGATTTGACCCTGATATTGACTTGGAGAGAGTAGGCGTTGTGAATCAAACAACAATGCTTAAAGGAGAAACTAAAGAAATTGGTGGGTTAATTTGACTTCGATTTTTCGGTCTTATTTTTTAGAAAATGGATTAAACAGGCCTTTTCATCCAAAGCGAATGTAAACAACCAATATTTTCAGTCTTATATATAGTCGTAGTCATCCGATCAATTATACTTAAAAGGGATTTGTTAGCTCTTTGCAAATTTACAATCAAACTATGTCTTTTTAGGAATACTCATTGAGCAGACAATGATGAGTAAGTATGGTCTTGATCAGAACAACAAGCAAGAACATTTCGTCAGAGTCGGCACCATTTGCAATGCTACTCAGGTGATCTTTTTTTCCTATTTGATTTTTGACTCTAGAAAAGATTTTCCTCGGTAATCTCTATTCCACATCTATAATATAACTCGACAATATTGATCACACATTTTGCCTCGGAGAATCAGGAAAGGCAGGATGCGATGTACAAATTGGTAGAGAAGGAAGTTGACCTCATACTTGTCGTCGGAGGATGGAACTCCAGTAACACCTCCCATTTGCAAGAAATTGGAGAACTCAGTGGCATTCCTTCCTACTGGGTCGATGGTGAGCAGAGGATTGGGCCAGGGAACAAGATCAGCTACAAACAAAAGGTTTGCTTCCTTAACACATCTGATACATTTATCTCTCATGCTTATAATTCATGATGTACTTAGGTCTTGGGTGTTGTATATAGGTGTTTTGATTGCTTTGGTGTTTTCAAGTGTTCAATGTAGCTATGGGGAATGATATTGAGGTGCCTGTAGAATGGTGTTTTCAGTGTGTAACTCTTTCATGGTTGATGTGTATCTCTTCTTGATCAATGAAACGAGGCAGAACTTTTGCCTTTGTTTCAAAAAAGTAATTCATGATATACTTCTTCTGTAAAATGGAAGATAACTATACTGTGAGTCTATTAAAGATGACAATGGATGTGTTTATGTTATTTACTGAATGTGTGCAATTGCATGGCAGAATGGTGAACTTGTTGAGAAAGACAAATGGTTACCCCATGGAGCAATCACAATTGGAGTCACCTCTGGAGCCTCTACTCCAGACAAGGTATATCTATGCATCTAATCCGATTTACACGCTGAATTAATAAATATCCTATCAAGTACTACAAATGTTTTGCCCATAAGTGCTCCAGTGCTAGTATAACCATGGGACTAAATATCTGCACTAAATAATATGCCAGGTCGTTGAGGATGTGCTGCAGAAGGTGTTTGAGATAAAGCGTCAGGAGCTTGGTGAAGCGACAGAGCAATAGATGAGATCATGAGACACTGTTGCAGGCGCACAGAGATGAGCAAGCACAAGGAGACATGAGATGCTAGTATGGTCAGATAAAGATACAGAAGAAATAAGATCGGCTGATTGAGAATTTGAGACTTGAGTTCATAGCATGAACTATTTGTGCATATTTGGTGATCTGGGAAGGCATACTGATAACTTTGAGTTGCAGCCTTGCAGGGCGAATGTAAAATACTATTCCCTCCATCGTATAATATACTACCTCCGTCCTAAAATAAGTGCAGCCATGAATTTCCGCGCTCAACTTTGATCGTCCGTCTTATTTAAAATTATTTTATAATTAGCATTTTTGTTGTTATAAGATAATAAAACATGAATAGTACTTTACTCGTGACTTATGTTTTTAATTTTTTTTAAAAAAAATCAAATAATACGAACGGTCAAAGTTGGGCGCGGAAAACCATGGCTGTAATTATTTAGGGACGGAGGTAGTAACAACATAGAATCGAATAAGATACAGTCTAATACTACGAGTTTAAACAGGAGCGGAGGGAGTACAAGTAGATAGCATCATAGAAATCACTTGGAACGTTTCTTGTTGCTGTTGCTGTGGTACTTCCGGGATGTGGATGCAAGCAAATCCCGGCACATCCACGTATGCGGGCTGGGAATTCGGCCCATCTAAATAAGGCCTTACTTGGGCGTTAAGATGTGGGTGTGGCCTATGGGCTCTGATGGGCTACGATTTGCTTTAACCACAGGAGACAAAACAAGGCCGTGTTTAGTTCTTTTTTAATTTTTTTTAAGTATACGAACACATATTTTAAGTATTAAACATAAACTAATAACAAAACAAATTATAGATTCCGCATGTAAACTGCGAGACGAACCTATTAAGCCTAATTAATCCGTCATTAGTAAATTTTTACTGTAACATCACATTAATCAAATCATGGCGTAATTAGGCTTAAAAGATTTGTCTCGCGATTTACCTGCAAACTATGTAATTATTTTTTTTCGTCCACATTTAATACTCCATACATGTGTTCAAATATTTGATGTGATAGAATTTTTGAAAGTTCGAAGGTAACTAAACACAGCCTAAGGCCTGTAAAATTGGTAAGGCCGGTTACATTTGACCATAGTTACTCACGATTAGTTGCGGTCTCTGTGTAAGAAATATCATTGACTGCCAGTAACATATGTTAGAGACCAAAACTGATTTTCTTCAATTGAGCAACCGAAATACTACCAAGTTTTTCCAATAAAATCGAATCTTACTCATGGTAAATTGGTACTTAGTATCAATTTGGATGTACTTTGACATTGAGTTTCTCATGCTTAATTGTTGTACTAGGCACGAATGGACGGATCGGTGTGAATCTGTCGCGTACAGCTGAAGCACAAAGGTCAAAATCACGAAGCATTCGGTTTCAGAGAGTGTGCGTATATCTTTATTTTTTTTTCTATGCATGCGTAAGGCCGTCCGTTTCACGTGTTTGGGTCGATTTCAAAGTCAGGCCACGCTTTCCACGCACATGTAGAAGACCATGCAGGCAACAGAACGTGCAGTGAACCTATTAACGAAACGCATTTTTTTTCAAGTGGAACACATGTTCCTGATTTTTTTTTCACAGCGATCAAACTGGTTTCTATAAAAAAAATCTACGAATTAATCCGTACCGCATGCCAAATAACGCATTAGGAAAGAAATCGTGGTTCGGTGATAGAAAGATGGCAAACCGATGAGATGATTTTTAACGCTCTTTTCTTACATCGAGAATGGCATCATCAACCAACAACGGCCTCCAGAAATATGTTTTTAGTGCTATCGAGATTTTTTTTTATTTTTGGAACTTTTAAGCTCCGGCTGAGTGCTCTTCCACAGATGTGTCACAAAGCGATCGATTAGCCGCCGGGCCATCTCTCTTTCATCGCAAACTGACGCGCGCACAAAGCACACAAAAATTCTATCTGAAAAGAAGAACACACGAAAATTCAGGCTGGTAAAAAAATAAAAGACGAGAGATTGTGGCGCTGGGGTCCTCAGAATTTCGCGCGGTCAGAAAAACGTGGCTCGATTGTTCCGGAAATTTTCTGCTCCCGGCGCGCTGACCGTCGCCTAGTCTGGGCCGTCCGGCTTGCTTGCTAGTGACAGGAATATGCCTCCCCTACCACGGAGCCCCCGGCGTTTTGGCAGTTGCAAAATTCTCATCCCACCCCTGCTACTATGCAAAAATCACTGCAAAGAAAATGTTATAATGTATTCCCTCTGTTACTAAATAAAGTATTTCTGAAAATCTAATAACATAGGAATGTAAGTATTTTCATTCAATCAGATGCTTATGATGGAAATTCAAGCAATTCAAATTTTGAGAAATAATGTGACAACTGCCAAGGAAATCTTTCACAATATCTTTAACCTTTGCTAAAAATGACTAGAAATGATTATACCCCCTTCGTCCCACTATCTAGGTTTTCAAGGATTCAAAAATTATAACATAGTAGTATATGTATTTCTGTGATGTTACTCTTTCCATCCCATAATACAAAGGATTTTACACATTCTAGTACTACGAATCTGATCAGACAGCATGTCTAGATTCATATTAGATATGTTACGTCCCTCCAAAATCTCATATATTTTGGGATGGAGGGAGTAGTTCAAATACATGAAAATCAATGCATTTTCAGCCAGTTAGGCCCTATTTAGATTCCAACTTTTTTCTTCAAACTTCTAACTTTTCCATCACATCGAACTTTCCTACACACACAAACTTCCAACTTTTCCGTTACATCATTCCAATTTCTTCAAACTTCCAATTTTATCGTGTAACTAAACACAGCCTTAGGTGCTTGGAAGAAGAATCTAAGCAATTCAAAATTCAACAACTAACATGACGGAAAAGAAATATTTTCTCATAACATTATTATTTGCTGAACGATCTAGAAATACTTACATACTACTTCAGTCCAAAATAAACCAACCTCGTACGGAACGTAGGTTAGTTTATTTTGGAACGGATGGAATACGGTAATATCGATATAAGTGGAGGGTGTGTCCTGTAAAAACATCAGTGAGTTGAACAACAATTTGAGGCCACAGGGATAAGAGTGGCCGAGCGTGGGGAGATCCCAACTCCGAATCCGACGCACCCACACCCATCCACTCCAGAGCTCCCCGCGGCACTTGGCACCACCACCACCACCACCGGCATCCGGCGGCGCGGGCGGTGATGGCGACCATCACCACGCAGCTCCGGTCGGCCCTCCTCTCGCCGGCGGCCTCGCCGAGCCGCCGTGCCAGGCGCGCCCCGTCGTCCGTGCGGTGCGACTCCTCGGCAGCGTCGTCCCTGTCCGCCTCCGCGTCGCTCGACGCCGACTTCGACAAGAAGCAGTTCCGCCACAACCTCACCCGCAGCGACAACTACAACCGCAAGGGCTTCGGCCACAAGAAGGAGACGCTCGAGCTCATGAGCCAGGAGTACACCAGTATGATTTCCTCTCCTTTCCCTTTCTTTTTTTTTCTCTTCTTGATTGGGGGCTCACCGGCGGCGGCGTGTTCTTGGTCTCAGGCGACGTGATCAAGACGCTCAAGGAGAACGGGAACCAGCACACGTGGGGCCCCGTGACGGTGAAGCTGGCGGAGGCGTACGGCTTCTGCTGGGGCGTCGAGCGCGCCGTGCAGATCGCCTACGAGGCGCGCAAGCAGTTCCCCGACGATCGCATCTGGCTCACCAACGAGATCATCCACAACCCCACCGTCAACAAGGTGATTATGAAATCCTCCCCTATCCATTTCGTTTGATTCAGGCGTCGACTCGTCTCCATGGGGATGAATTTTGTGGTTTTTCCCCTTCGTGAATGCCCGCCTCCTTCCACGAACTGAGTTTGTTGCGTATGAGGGGATAGATTAGCGTCTGCGTGTGCGTGGTAAAATGATCTATTTGGTGCAAATGAGATTTGGAGTAAAATCCTACCAATTTCTAGTTGAGAAAGTGTTCACAGCGAAGAGTGGCCACCAGATTCTGCGTTTTAGACTTTTATACCCCCTTGATTACCCAATTAACTAGTTTCTTTTTATCTGCTGCTTAAGAGTATTCAATCATCTGTGCTTCGCATGACAACGGACTCTGGAATTGGAAGTGACTTGAATTCGACTCCTGCTATTGTGTTTGCAGCGATTGGAGGACATGGGCGTCCAAAACATTCCTGTTGATGCAGGTATTAAGGATTTCGATGTTGTCGAGCAAGGGGATGTTGTCGTATTGCCTGCATTTGGAGCGGCCGTGGAGGAGATGTACACGCTGAATGAGAAGAAGGTGCAGATAGTCGATACAACGTGCCCTTGGGTTTCAAAGGTGGGTTTCCCTTTTGAAGATCACCTGATCCTTTCTATGTCGCTCTGAGATTATCAGAAATCAAAGGTATATCTGGTTGATGAACTCCACTACTATATATAGGTGTGGAACATGGTTGAAAAGCACAAGAAGGGTGACTACACTTCTATTATTCATGGAAAATACTCCCATGAAGAAACTGTTGCCACTGCTTCCTTTGCAGGGACATACATCATTGTTAAGAACATAGCAGAGGTATGTTTGATGCATTTAATTTTTTCCTATTGCATTGACTTCCATGTTGAATACATTATTTGGCTCAAATAACAAAATATTATCAATTGTAACAGGCTAGCTATGTATGTGATTATATACTTGGTGGCCAACTTGATGGTTCTAGCTCCACAAAAGAGGAGTTCCTTGAGGTAAAGCCTTTCTTGAATCATCTTTTTTTTTTTGCCCTGTTATGTTGGAAAGAAATGCCAATGTCTAATCGAATGTTTTATCAACAACTGCAGAAATTCAAAAATGCTGTTTCTCCAGGATTTGATCCTGATGTTGACTTAGTGAAAGTTGGCATTGCCAATCAAACAACAATGCTTAAAGGAGAAACTGAAGAAATTGGTTCGTATGCTAGCAGATGCTAATTGCCATTAGCTTCATGCCTGTTAGTTTGTGTTATTATATACAGTACAATTTGGTTTTAAATATCAAATTTGACTATAATGCTGTATAACTAACAGGGAAGCTTGTTGAGAAGACAATGATGCGTAGGTTTGGAGTTGAGAATGTCAATGACCACTTCATTGCCTTCAACACTATCTGTGATGCCACACAGGTAAACTTTGTTGTACTATTAAGTCATTTATGGCTCCATTGTAATCTGCATAAGTAACCTTGTTCGAGCATATTCCTACAAACTTTGTGGTGTTTTTGGATACAATCAGATCATAGTCTATGTTTGGTTCATATATTGGTGACACCCTTCCCCTTCATATATCAGGAAAGACAAGATGCAATGTACCAGCTAGTGAAGGAGAAAGTTGATCTTATTCTGGTTGTTGGAGGATGGAACTCCAGTAACACCTCTCATTTGCAAGAAATTGGAGAACTCAGTGGAATTCCGTCTTACTGGATTGACAGTGAACAAAGGATTGGACCTGGAAACAAGATCAGCTACAAGTTAAATGTATGTTGTAATACTCATATCTCATCAAGAATATTCTTTTTTCTTCAAAAAAAAATGTTAGTGAATATTATGAAAGAATAGTGTAGATTTTTTTTTGGCAACCAATAAGCAGAATTCTGACAAAATAAGCAGAAACATCAATTGAAAGTATAGTCTTATCACTGAAATCTGAATCATTTTAACAGCATGGCGAGCTTGTCGAGAAAGAGAACTGGTTACCAGAAGGCCCTATCACAATCGGAGTTACTTCTGGCGCCTCAACTCCGGACAAGGTAATACGGCTAACCTGGATTATGTTTTTCTTTTGTACGCAGCCTGCTTGTCTTCTGCACATATTTCTGCACAGTGGTCACTGGATAAAACTAAAAACGCATAACTTTCCTTCTTATGCAGGTTGTTGAGGATGCGTTACAGAAGGTGTTTGAGATCAAGCGCCAGGAAGTTTTGCAGGCCGCGTAAATTTTCATCAGGTTTGGTCACGGTAGCTGATGGCTTGGTGAAGGTTAATAGAACCAGTGCACAAGCGATGTCTGTACAGTAGTGAAGAATGCTACGCTTTTAGGAGCGCATACTACGGCATGTGCTGAGATTTACGTAGTATGTTGGGGGCAAATGTTGTAATCAATTATCACACGAAGAACAGTTGCTGTATCGGCTGTCATAACTTTCTGACCCCCTCAAATAACGTTGCAGAAGTATCTTTCTTCGGTATAAATATCACCCAATTTGTTAGCTAGTACTATTTGATAGAGCTCAAATGCAGGACTCCCTGTATATATATGGCAAGTACAAGAAATGCAGGGTTCCCTATGTATAACATTAAGTTCAGAACCAATCTTGATATGCCACATATGTTGTTATAAAATTCCATTTCTCTCTGCAACTTTCATACTGTAGTAGTATTGTTCTTCAGCTTTTGAACAAAAAAAAATAATCAGTAGTAGCAGCTGTTAGCTCACGACCATTCTGTGTGTGTGTGTGTCGCCTCACTCCCATGACTTGACACACTGGGAGTGCGGCGGCCACCTGAGCACCGGCGACGCGCCGTCGCCGTCGAGGCGCCGCCGCGCCGCGGCGAGGACGGCCGCGAGGTCGGCGACCTTGGCGCGCATGGTCCGGCAGCAGTTGGCGTGCACGGTGGCGACCTCGCGGGCGTCGCGGCTGTCCTGGCAGAAGCCGCTGAAGCGCGCCGTGTCGAGGACGCGGGCGCGGACGCCGAGGCGGCGGAGCGCGCCGCGGCGCTTCATGTCGTTGAGCACGTCCTGCTCCTTCATTCCCGCCGAGCGGTCCCGCGCCGCGTGCCACTCGTCGAACAGCGCCGCCGTGCGGTTGTTGGAGGCCACGAAGAAGAAGCCGGTGTTGAGCTCGTTGCCGGCGATGTCGCCGGGGCGGCCGTTGAACTGGTCGGAGCTGATCAGGAGGTCCTCCTCCTCCGCCCTGTACTCCAGCCTCGACAACGGGTTCCTCAGCCACATCACATCCAAATCCTTGCGTATTTAACCAATCACAATTAAGCTAAACATCATACTATACAAAATGAAATGACGCATGGAGTAGCATTCTTGAATGTACAATTATAAGCAAAAACACAATCTTGCGGTTGCCTGATTTATTTTGATTTTTCAATTGACAAAACTCGCCTAATAATGTATAAACAGAACTTCATTTTGCTATTGATCAGCTGCATAATATTTTGTTATTTGTTATTAGTTAACTAAATTGTATAAGCTATTATATGTTTGATCCATCCATTGATTAATTATTAAGGCAAAGTTTGTACGCGTGTATTATGCATGAAACCGAGAGAATAGTCGCGTACGGTGAAGATGAAGCTGTAGCCGAGCTTGAGGACGTCGCCGAGGAGGCGAATGCGTCGCCACATCATGCGTATGAAGCCGTCGGACATGTAGAGCTGCTCCGACGAGAGGTCGTCGGCGCCGTCCTGCGCCGCCGGGAGCTGGTAGCACCGGACGCCGCCGAGGCGCCTGCAGCGGAGGAAGGCCGGCCGGTCCATGGCGACGAGGAGGACGTGGGCGATGAGCTGCTCGGTGCCCTCCCCTTCCCTCATGCTCCGGAGGAAGAGGTCGAGCAGGCCGCCGTCCTCGTCGGCGTACGCCCTGTTCAGCACGCTCACGATCAGCGTCCCGTTCGCGTACGCCGCCCCGCGCACCGCCGCCTCCAGATCGTCGTCGCCGGCGTCGACCTGGTTCGGCCATCGACGTGACAATGTCCCAAGAAGTAGTGAGTTAATTAGTGCTCATGCTAATCACTTCGCGGCGGCTGATTGGTGAAGTTGTTAGTGTATTACCGATGAACGACGGCGGCGCCTCACGCTGAAGAACTCCTCCTCCGTGTCGCCGTCGCCGGCGGCCGGAGAAGATAGAAGGTACGTGCCGACGATGACGAGGAGGCAGATGGCGACGACGGCTATGGCGCGGCCCAATGCGCAGTGCTGCCGCAGACCAGCCGGCGCCGACATGGCTGCTGGATATCGAGTCGGTTGCACTCCTCAGTGTTAGAGTGAAGCCTTTAGCTCTATTGCCATGGAGAATTGTGAGGTTGAAGCCGAGAGACAAGCGGGATCGTATGAGTAGCGGGGTTGTTAGTTCAGTTAATGATGATTTCAAAAACCAAAAGGACATACGCGTGTATGTGCTCATGTGGATATTGAGGTAAACCTACCAACCTCTATGTTACAACTTGCAAGCCTGGTTTGAAACATGTTCAATTTATAGAACTCCACAGAAACAGTTTGTTTTCTCCCAGTAACAGAAGATCCTCTCAATGCCTATACGCAATGGGATTAGTAGCATCATTGTCATACACCCAATCCCATTCTGACACTTTTTTGAACGACTCGTACGAGACGATGCGAAGTTTTATTGATAGAGCAGGAAAAAATTACAAGATTATAACCCTGTAGGGTCGTAACCAGGAAAAAGGAAAAATATACCACCACCCACACACCGACATCGCCAACACACAAGCCCAGGAGAAGACTAGCACCAGATCGGCCGCCGCTAAGCATGACCGACCGCCACTAGACCAACAAAGAGACCCAGACGAGATCGCCCCGTAAGGGATGCCAAAACGACGTCTTCAAGAAGAGAAGCGATGAAAAAGCCGCCGCCGCCGTCCGTCGGGACTCGAAGGAACTAAGATTGGGCTTTCGCCCGACAATCACCCTTGAGGGGTGAGAGAGCACGACAACGCCCTCAGGAGGGGGAATGAACCATCGTTATCGGTCCGGCCAAGGCCGAACTGAATTTTCACCCGCCACTCACTACCTGCAAATCCACAACTGACACACTGATGCCCCACCACCACACAAGCTCTGCCGACCTGTGGGACCCCTGCACCGGCGTCCCTCGCCGGCCAGCCTTCGAGTGCCGAAGATCACGCCACACCCACCGGCAGCTCCTCCTCACACCGAGGTCGCCTCCTCCACCGCCGGCCGCGCCTCTCGCGCCAAGCCGGCCTCCTCCATCGGACGCGCCTCTCGCGCCAATCCGGCCTCCCTCCATCGGTCGCGTCTCTCACGCCAAGCCGGCCTCAATCTCCGCCGCTCGTGCCTCTCGCGCCGAGCCGGCCTCCGCTGCCATCGGCTGCGCCTCTCTACGCCAAGCCGGTCTCCGACCCTCCACCAAACAATGCCGTGCCGGCCAAATGTAGCCGTCTCCCACGCTATCGGCTAGCCGTCTGAGGCCACCATGCCTCCGGTGACCGCAATCACGGCCACCACCACCACAGCCGCTGTTGTTGAACGCCTAGCCACTTCGTCGTCGCCATCCTCACCGTGCACCTCCACTTGTTGCCACCAGCGACCCACATCTACCGACATCGCCAGCGCCTCCACAGCCACAGCCGCCGGCAAGTCGGCCGCTGTCGCCGCTGCCACCGACGCCAGCCACCGCCTCCGCGAACAGCCGCCACTGCCAGCAGCCGCTTCGCTGTCGCCGTCCGCCACGTCGCCGCCAAGTCCTCCGTCGGCGTCGTCAGCCGTCGTCACCACCGCCAACTGCCGCGACCACCACCGTCGCTGCTATCGCCAGCCGTCGCAAGTCAGCCGCCGTCGCCGACCACCACCGCCGGCCACCCTCTAGATCCGGCCACCGCAGATCTGGGGGAGACCGCCGCCGAGAACCGCGCGGTCGCCGCACAGGGATCACCGCAGCCGCCTTCGCGCTCTTTGCCGACGCCATCCCCGCCGCCTGCAAGCACCATCGACCGGTGCCTGCAAGCACCATCGGTCGGCGCCGCACGCGCCTGCCTTCGCCGTCGCCCTCCCCGCCACCGTTGTTGCCGTCCTCCCCGCCGCCAGCTGCTGCCGTCGCTCTCCCCGTCGCCACCCCGCCAGATCCGGCCGGAGCAGCCCGGATCTAGCGGCCACCACCGCCCCGTCGTGGGCGCTCCCCTCCGCGAGTGCCCGCTCAAAGAGAGGTCGCCGGCTTCATCCTTCTCCGCCTCCACCTCTCGTGCGCCCATCTCGACGTTGACGCTGATCCGGCCAGCTCCACCTTTAGGTCCGCCCGCACCAGAACCGGGGGTGGCCGCCGCGGCGAGCCCCGCCGCCGCCGTCCTCGTGAGCCATCGGCTTTGTCGGCCACTTGCTCAGGCAGCGGCGAGGCAGATAGGAGGGTGGAGAGGGGCGGCGGCGGCTAGGTTTCGCCGCCCAAGTCTCCCACGGGAGGCGACGCGGGGGCCTCATGAGAATGTATTTGTTCCTATCCCATTCTGACACTTCAATTGACAAGAAAAGATTGGACTGCTGCGTTAATACCATTACCAGAAATGGACGAATACGAACAACATAGCATCAGCTGAACACACAAGACAACATAGGGGGCTCTCATTGAGATGCTCTGTTTGTTAGATGGGTCATGGGATTACAACACACATTACACTTTACATTCCTCCGCTAACTCTGACGCGACAAAAAAAAAAGGTAAAAAATAAATCTACCGCCCGCCTCCAGCTTCTCACTCCACCCTCCTTCCAGTCAGACTAACTTCCTAAACACACAGAGCCCGCTCCAACACTGCTTATACACCAGGCACCCATCTTCAGGTGCCCAGGTGAAATGGGCCACTACTTCCCGTATCCTACAATTGGAAAGTGGTGGCCAAAAAGAAAAGAGAAAATGAATATGGATAGGACATCGCCAATTATACTTTACACAATCTCCGAGCCGCAGATGGAGATATCAGAGGGAAGAAACGCCCGGGGAAGTTATAGTCATTAGCCAGAAAGACTTCTTCTCGCCATATCCTGTGCACGGAACACCCTTTTCCTCTTCTTCCCTCTTGCTAAACAGGGTCTGGTCCGAGCAATCAAGACCCGCCCCACATGCTGTATTGTACAACTCACATGCAGAGTAGCATACCCGAAGTCGGTTATCCCCATCTTCGTCGCACCTTTGAATCGAGATCTGAAGAAAGAAATTTAGGAAGGTATTACTTCTCCACAAATTATTGCTCTCAACAGTAAAACAAGATGAATCCGTATGGATATATAGAGATAATGAGGGCATTGACAAAAAGACAATTGGTTTAAATATCACTAGTATTTGGCGTAAGTAAACTAGACAAATCTCCTGCTCAGTGAAATGGGGCTAGATGATCTTATACTCGATGCAGAATTCAGTGTTTATTTCTAAAAATGCAATCGTGTTATAACAGGCAATGCAGATCCGTGACATTGAACTTGGAGGATTCCTTTCACTATGTTCTAACAAAATAATACATGCTTCTTTCTTGTATATATGTATATTTGCTACAAGTAAGCTGTGCTCTTAATATACTATGCTTGTTTAAAGGCAAAAACAGCAATGCGGACAAACAAAACCTCATAACGTGTATGCAAGCTGAAGATAGAACATCTAAAGATCAGAACGAGTTCGCAAGATATATAAATATTTGAGAAATGGTTGAAGCAGGCCATACCCAGCAGGCTAACCGCTTTGCAGCTGCTGCACAGTTGGCATTGTTAAAGAAGTTAAGGAAGGTCCGCCCACTTGGCATCAACCTATTGTAATTTGGCACAAGAACCACTGCTTCAAGCTGTTGTAGAATACTGAGTTCACTTGGTGCACAATGCTGCCCGTCAGCATCCCTAACCAGTACATCATGGCACATTGACAAGCTGGGCAATATTGCAGAACCTTTCTGACAAGTGTAGCCTGCATAATCTGAACAGCGGAATTCACATTTACCATTATCACAGACTCCTCCGTGCAAACTACATTGCTCATCACAAACCGCTGCATTAAAAAAGAAACATGACATTAGTTTTAGCAATCATCAATTCTAAAACATATAATAAATTGTAAGGCGTTCAAGGCTCCAACATAATAAAACTCAATTGCAAGTTTTAAGTGCTCAAATCTGATCATGTATGGCAAAGCACATTTTCATAAGAAATTCAAATGCATTAAAACCTAGTGTGACTAGTTTTCACGAATCAAACACAAAGAAAATTAGTGAGTTCATCTTCATGTTTTTAACAGAAAACTTCAGTATTCATTAAGTTCACCTGTTGAGCAGTCAATCCCAGTCCATCCACTTTCACATTCACAGATCCCATTGGCTTTGCATATACCATGACCTGTGCACTTGGCTGGGCAAGATCCTGCACACCAAACCAATGGTAGTCAGTGAGACCAAACTATAACAGAATGGATACTTCAGCATATCAGAAAAGCAATCCAGCCAATTTTGAAGGGGCCCACCAAGGGCTACAAAAATCCATTGTCCTCTTCACTCAATTGAAGCTCCACAAGAACCAACAGATTGTTCATAATATTGATAAATGTATATATATGAAGCATACAATTATAAACTACTACTTTCAAAAGGATGCTTGACCACTTCTCTAAAAATATTCCACTTCAATATCCAGCTTATCCATAAATCTTTTGAATACAAGATTGGAAAACCTGTGCTGAAAAGGCTTAACAGATGGAGAAGAAAAAAGTTGGATGAAAACGGAAGGATAGCATAGACATAGAACTCACTTCTGCTACAGTCGTGGCCATGAAATCCAGGGAAGCAATGGCAGGTTCCATCAATGCAATCACCATTAAAACTGCAAGACTTGGGACACTGGCCACTTACTGGAACTGGCACGGTGTTACACAACTCGTGATATGCCGGGCAAATCAACTCCCCTTCAGCAACGAAATTTACTCAAGTAAGAAACAAAAGAAGAGAGTTCTGATATAATACACATCAAATAACAAGACTCACCATTGAACCCTGGGAACTGAACAGGTCCACCAGTTTGCGGACATGACTTCCAGATCCCATCAACGGCAACCTAAACATCAATAATTTTTTTGAACACCACAAATGGCAAAGTTTAGCCAGAGCTGAGCAGAATTTCTGAACCAAAATAGAATATGATGCATGAGGTTACTTGGACAAATCTGATGCAGCCAATATAGACACAAACAGCATAAGCATGTAGCCCAAAAAGAATATAAAACAACTAAGACAGTTCAAAGAACCAAATTTATTATTTAATACATCTGGCGAGAGATATAATGACTGTGGTTTCAATGGTTTTGTTCTTAAATATAAGGTTTGCATGCATGTTTAATGGTTTTTCCTACTATGCCCCTATTTGTTATTTCTGTGATTATTATACCTCCTCAGATCACACTATTGAAACCGACCATCAGTGACTTCTACATA